CCCTGGTTCTTGCATGCAGAGAGCGGGAATTGTCCCTGGCATCCTGTGCTCTGCTTTCAGCTGGGAAGGTGCTGCCTGGCCCAGCGCTGCTGGTCCGCATCCCCCTGGGACAAGCCTGGCTCCTGAGGTCACCCCAACCCCTTGGGTTTGATGGAGCAAGTCCAGAAGAGGCCACGAGGATGCTCAGAGGCTGGAGCAGCTCCCGTATGGAGACAGGCTGAGAACATCGGGGCTGTTCAGTCTGGAGAAGCTGCGTGGAGACCTCAGAGCAGCTCCAGTGTCTAATGGGGCTACAAGGATGCTGGAGAGGGACTCTTCATCAGGGACTGTAGCGATAGGACAAGGGGTGATGGGTTCAGACTGAAACAGGGGAAGTTCAGGTTGGAGATAAGGCAGAAGCTCTTCCCTGTGAGGGTGCTGAGGCGCTGGCACAGGGTGCCCAGAGAAGCTGTGGCTGCCCCATCCCTGGCAGTGTTCAAGGGCAGGTTGGACACAGGGGCGCGGCGATGGCGGCGGGCTCGGTGTGGAAGGGGCTGGTGGGGCTCGGCCTCTTCGCGCTCGCACACGCGGCCTTCTCGGCGGCACAGCGTGAGTGACCGGCGGGCACCGGGCTCGGCTCGGCTCGGCTCGGGGCGGGGAGGCGAGGCGAGGCGAGGCCGCACGGGAGCGCGCACGGCCCGCATCGTCGTGCCCGCGGTGCGGGAGAGCGGAGCTGGGCCCCGCCGGGAGCGCACCGGCACAGCGCGGGGTTCGGGCCCGCAGCGGGGGGAACGGGAGCGGAAGGGAAAGGGAAGGGAAGGGCAGGGCAACCCGGCACCCGATGGCGGCTTCACCCCTTCCATGTGCCCCCGCCCGGTGCCGTTCCCCTCCTGACAGCGGCACCTGGAGCGCTCGGAGCTGGGCATCGGAGCATGGCTCCGGGGCGGTGGGAGCATGGCTCCGAGCCGGGTCCCCGAGCGCTCCGTGTTGCTGCTGCGTGCTCTCTGCACAGAGCGAACGCCTGACGTGTGCGTGTTTGTGTTTTGTAGATCGCTCCTACATGAGGTTAACAGAAAAGGAAGACGAAACGTTGCCCATAGATGTAAGTTTCAGTCGTGACAGCGTCGGTAAGGTGCTGGGTGGATTGTTCAGTCTCCCTCAGTTGCTTTGTTATTTTAACGTGATAAGCATGAAGACAAGGTAAAGCAGGTTTTAACCTGCGCTTTCACTTGAGCTCCCTCCCCTGTTTTCCATCCCGACTCCCAGCGGTGTGTTCTGTCTGTCAGAACAAACCCCAGGTACAGACCTCGCTGCCCTTCTTTAGCATCCCCCTGAAGCAGCTCGTCCAGGAGTTCCCTGAACTCAGCCCAGAGAGCTTTCGCCTCCATCTCCTGCTTTGCAGCATAAACATCCTCCTCCCTCTGGCTTCTGCTGGCTGACATTTACCCAGCGTGGCTGTGTGCCTGCAGAACCTGCTTTAGGAAGGGAGGGGGGGGGGGGAAGGGTCGTTTTCATTTGCTTCAGTTTCTTGGGGGTTTAAATCCCATTTCAATTATTCTCTGTTCCAGTTTTGCTTAATCAGAAAGGGAAGGGGATCAAATACCCACAACTGGGCACGGCATTAGGATGGAGCAGCAGCTGCCACCACTGCACAGCATGTGCTGGCAGCCAGCTCGCTTCTCAGAGAGAGCATTTAGAGCCTGAAGTATGCAAGAACCAGGGGGTTGTTCTAAGGAGCTCACTGAGGAGCCCTGTGAATCCATTCAGCTCATGCAATGCAGAGCAGTTGTCCGGCAGCTGAAGCTCTTCTTGGCTCCATCACTGTTTTGCCACACTAAATAGGTGGGGGTATCTCACCTTCCCGTGCCTCAGTTTCCCTGCTGAGAGTCTACTTTCCTGTTCCTACTCACCTTTCCCTCATACCTGGTTCCTACTTGGATTTCCACCTCTGTAAAGCATGGGATGAAAAGCACGAGACTGTTTGAAAGATGAGCTACTGGGGGGGTAAATAGTTAATAATAGAAAGCAATGTAGGAAAAGAGACTCTAAAGTATGTGTTGTGTTGTGCCTCTGTTACAGATAGTTCTTCAGACCCTGTTAGCCTTTGCAGTTACGTGCTATGGGATAGCACACATCGCAGGAGAGTTTAAAGACATGGATGCCACTTCAGAGCTAAAAAATAAGTATGTTTTCATTTCTTCCCTTCATGAACCACATGTATCTGCTGCTGTCTGTGCACACTGAGCACTCAAAGAGCTTTGCTGCTTGGGTCTTCTTAAATGCATGTATGTGAACAGTCACGCCTGGGAAAGCCAGCTGTGTCTTTAATGTCAGAGTTAGATAAGCAGAAAAGCTGAAATCACCTCCTTGCTTTCCCTCAGCCACACCTCTGCTGTGCAGAGCTGGAAGAGGAATGCAGTGTCTGTATGGGAAGTCAGAGCTCAGCAGCCACAAGCAGCTGATTCTGAGGTGGTCTCAGCCTGTGGGCAATATGCCTGGCTCCCTCTGCCTTTGCTTCTTTACAAGAGTTTGAGTTATTTGTATCTCACATTGAATTCAAGGCAGAATCTCTGAAAGACTTGAGGAAAATAAGGGGTTTTGAATGGAGCGTTTGGAATTGGATGGGCAGACATGGCCTGTCTGGCTGTTTCCAAGAACACAGGAGAGGATGGAAAGCCAACAAGTTGCCAGGGTTGTATTTCATAGCGATTACCTAAACCCCATGGCTTCAGGCACAGAAACGGAGGGAAAGCTGCCAGTAAGCATCAAGGTGTTAACACAAGGGGCAGCTGAGCTGAAGCTGGCACGTTTGGTGCTGCAGGCAGAACTCAAGGAAGGTGAAGCTTGTCCAACCTCTGCAGTCAGTATTTAGGATAGAATAGGAAGGGTTGGAAAGGACTTTAAGATCATCTAGTTTCAATGTAGAACTAGTTCTTCGTGCTTGCCTTTGTATTTCCCTCTGTGTTTTTGTTTAAGGAAACATAAAAAGAAAGTAAGAGTCTTAAAGAGTATTAACATTGCCTCTCTACCTTTATATTTTGAAGGACGTTTGACACATTAAGGAACCATCCATCTTTTTATGTATTTAATCATCGTGGTAGAGTATTGTTCCAGTCCCCAGACACAGTGAATTCCTCTTCAAACCAAGATGCTTTGTCATCCAGCTCAGCACTGAAATTCCGGAAGCTGGAAGCTCTGCGCCGCTGAGGCTTTCCCAGCTGCTGATGGTGAACCCAGGACACTGAGATGTAATATTCAAGTCGGGGATGTAAACACTTTTTTTAATTTCTGGAGCAGTATTTATATTGATCTTCCAGACTTTATAAAGTATATATATATAAACTAATGACCTTTGTACACTGATTAATGAGAACGACTCCATTGTGAATTGGCCACGCGGTGTAAATCACTCGACAGTTATGCTGTGAAACCCACCTTCCCATTGCCCTCTATTAAATCAAGTTGCAGCTGATTTAACTCCAGTGACAAAAAAAAAGCACGCTGGTTTGCACTGCATTTAATGCTCTTTGACAAGAGGGAACGGTGGAGTGCTGGCTGGTTTCTCTGCTTGCACTGCAGCTTGTGGAAGGCCTTCAGAAACGCTGGGTGAACAGCAGGAAAAGGGGCAGCATCTCCTGCTCTGCGAGCCCTGCACACTGTGGGCAGGGGGAGTCAAAGAGATTGCTTCATCTTTGTTTTTCTACGATGCGGAGAAAGTTGTGTGAAGGTTTTGGGGCTTTTTATCCATTATCACATTCTTTCCTTATTGCCTTCCTTCAGTTAAGTGTAAACTGGCCTGTGCTGCCTCAAGCTGCCCAGCATGGGGCTGTTGATTTGGGGGAGGCAGCTCACATCTGATCACGTAGATAATCTACCGTATATCATGATATATACAGATATATAGACACACAAGATAATCTCGGCTTGATTGCCCACTGTAATGCTCTTCTCTCTGGTTGTGAATACAGGGGTGTTTATCAGACAGCTGAATGCTTTGTTGGCACCAGATACAAGTCTCAAGTCATCTTCTATGAGCTGTATTTAAGTATCAATAAGAAATACCCATTCTGGCTGTGGTCCAGGGGTAGGGACCAGCAGCCAGCTCTGGTTGTTGGCACTGGTACAGGTAATCAAGTTGTGGTACAGCCACCCCCTTCTCTGCCAACAGAGCCTTTCAGTCTGATTTCTTTATCCAGCTGAGCCCTTTTGTTGATTCCTGTCTTGATTTCATGTAGTAGGACAGATAACACAGCCCTTAACTCTTACTGACACCTCAGTTCTCACCTCCCCTTAGGGTGAATCGATGCTGCAGTCTCTCTTGGTCTGGCATTCCACCTGCCTGGCATGGTGAAGGGAGGGTAGCTCAAGATACTGATGGGGAAGTGAGAACTGTGCCTGGTCTGAGGCTGTCTCGCTGCTGCTTTTTGTCTAACATCTGGTTTTGCTTTTTAACCTGTTAAGAACTGTCAATGGCAAAAGGCTTAACAAAAATACTGCATAAACTGAAGCCTCTTGTTCTGACTGCCCATCCTATGGAGTGGGTGCCCCAGTGATACAGCAACATCTGCAGCTGCTGCTCCACAGTCACTCTTGAGCATGTGGCTTTGGTTAGAAAGGGTTACTCTGCCACCTGAAAGTGGCTGAGCTGCCAGGTTACTTCCTAAGGTGTCCTGGTTGTCACAAACCAGCTTGCTGTCACCAAAGGCCTCAAAAATAGCAAGTATCAGGTCAGCTCTGCCACAGACTGCTCTCTCCCTGGGGAAGAGGGCTGCTTGCTGCGGCCACTGCATGGAGGAAGGGGTGAGCATTGGCCAGGTGACCTTGGGAGGCACAGAGGAAGGAATCAGCTGAAGGAGAAGCAAGCAGAAGGTCAGGTACCACCGTATCAGGCTGATGCTGAGGTTGGCAGGAGCTGCTGGCAAAGGGGCTTGGGCTCACCCTTCATATCTAAGAAGCCCCATTTGTGGTACAGTAAGGCTGGGTGGACTTGCTGCTGGGGGACAGGGCGAGTGGAGAACATCACCTGCACCTCAGCACGGGTCCTGTTGGCTGCATCAGGTCTCTTCTCGTGACACGTACCTGACTCTCCAGCAGCAATGGTTCTACCACAGAGCTGTACGAGCTATTTTTTCTTATGGATTTCACAATGCTCAATAAAAATGGATATCCTTGAAGTGGCTGGGAGTTGTTGTGTTTATTTCTGAGCAGCCTGGAGCCTGCTGTAGCAGCAAACCCCTGGTGACTCAGTGCTTAGAAGTGACCCCTGAGGACTGACATGAAGCAACTGTGTTCATTACTGGGAGGTAAAGATCAGGGAGAGGAATCAAATCCCTACAAGCAGGGAAGCAAAACGTTTAGGAGGGAAGCGTTACTGAGGATCTGCATGTCTTTAAGATTCTTAGTGAAGGGATCTGACATATTTTGCCTTCCTTTTAAGCATAGTAAAAGCTTTTCTATCAAGTGCTCATCCCCTGCCAACCCAGGGGACAGGCTCCTGCAAGGTGCGGTAGTGCAGCAGGTGCTGGGGGAAGCTCTCAGCCTACCCACAGGGCTGGAAATGGTTAAAGTCTGTGCAGCAAGATCACTTTTCACTCCCTGCTCTGCTTTTCCACTGGGGGAGGTTGAAAAGCAAGCGAAGAACTAGGGAAGTTTGCTGCATTACAGCACCCAGCATGACTGCACCCTTCACCCTGGGCTCACCGTGCTCCGGCGGCACCCAGCACTGAACATGAGGGTGCAAACCCCCCCAAAATCAGTGTTTTAGGGCAAGGGCACCTTCCCCAGCACTAGAGCTCCCTCGTGCTCACCGTGCAATGTGCAGGTCTTCAGAGGAGACAGCAAAACACTGCTTGTGCCAAGAGCTGCTTGGGTTAGATTGAAGAGGAAGTCTGCAGCCTCACCCTACAGCATCCAGGACCATGGTGCCTTGAACCACTGCGGCTCCAGGCTGGGATGCTTCTACTGCATTCAATAACAGAAAAGACACGTGCTGATTACTTGCATTTGTTGCCTTAATCTGCATTAGCTTTGCCAGGCCCGTGTGCCTCCTTCCCACTGCTGCCCAGCGCTGGATTCAAGCTTCTTAGGATAGATTATGGCCCGGTCCTAGTGCTCTGGAGCACCAACACAGCCTCCTCCCTGGAGAAAGCAGGGAATGGCCATTTGCTTCCAACTCTGGCTTCCTCATCACTCACTTCCCATGCTCCAGGCTCCCTCGCCTTTCCCATCTCCACCACCACATCCTATGGGGACATTTCCAACTGGATACAGCCCTCCCCCTTCCAGAGCGGCACCGTTTCTGCTCCTCCTTGGAGCCCAAAGGCAGCAGCTTTCCCCCAGGGCACTGGCGAAAGACATGGCTCTCCTGCAGCACCAGTGGGGAGCCCCCCCCCATCCCTCAGCCCCAAGGCTTGGCAGGGCAGGGAAGCTGCGGCTCGCTCCCTGCTGGCCCTGGCACGCTGCCTGCGCAGGGGAAGGGTGAGGAAAGGCGATTTTGAATGTGAAACAAGCAACAAGAACCTTTGCTACCAGCTTTCCAGGGCCAGCACGGGCAGCGAAGGCAAAGCGCTCCTTGGGTTCAGCCTTGAGGTCCACCTTGAAGCTGTAATCACCTGGGGGAGAACCACAGTGAAAGTCAGTCCGGTGCTGGAGTGGTTACAAAGCCTTTTCATCAGCCCCGGGTGGGTCTCAGCGATCGAGAGTGCAACGAAAGCTACATCCTTAAAATGGCAGCGAATTCATTTCCCTGCGCTAACTTAATCTCTTCTCCAGCCAAGGAAGGCAAGCAGGAGCGCAGGGAGGCAGCAGGAGCCGGAACACAGCCCCAGGGCGCTCTGGCAAGGGCCCAGGCTGTGCTGTGTCATGGATTACAGGCTGTTTTCCAAGGAAGAGAGAGAAAACCACCACAAAGGTGACATTTGGCTCATCAGACCAATGGCTCACCCTATGCTGGTGATCCCGGGGCACGCACAGACACCCCCCCCCCCCCCCAAGGCTGTTTGGTCCCAGTTCATATCCCCAGTGTAGCCCTTGCTGCTGCGTGCTGGATGAGCCAGTTTCCCCAGAGGCACTTGGGAACGAACCAACAGGGAAAGAAAAAATCCCCCCTCCTTCCCCAAGGTGTTTCTGAGTGCGTTTGGAGCAGCTCAGGGCCGGCCAGGCAAGGTCACAGGAGGCAGGAAGACAACAACCATGTGCTGGGTGCACCCCCAGAGCGTGAGCACAGCTCAGGGAGGGGATCCTGCCCCTCTGCTGCGCTCTGGGGAGACCCCCCTGCAGCCCTGATCCAGCTCTGGGGCAGCAGCACAAGAGGGACGTGGAGCTGTTGGAGAGAGGCCAGAGGAGGCCATGGAGATGCTGCGAGGGCTGGAGCAGCTCTGCTCTGGAGCCAGGCTGAGAGAGCTGGGCTGGGTCAGCCTGGAGAAGAGAAGGCTCCTGAAGGGGAGACCTGAGAGAAGCTCCAGTGCCTGAAGGGGCTGCAGGAAAGCTGGAGAGGGGCTTGGGACAAGGCCCTGTAGGGACAGGCCAAGGGGAATGGCTTTAACCTGCCTGAGGGGAGACTGAGATGAGCTCTTAGGCAGAAGCTCTTCCCTGGGAGGGTGCTGAGGCGCTGGCACAGGGTGCCCAGAGAAGCTGTGGCTGCCCCATCCCTGGCAGTGTTCAAGGGCAGGTTGGACACAGGGGCTTGGAGCAAGCTGCTCTAGTGGAAGGGGTCCCTGCCCGTAGCAGGGGTTGGAGCTTTAAGGTCCTTTCCAACCCAAACCAGGCTGGGGTTCTGTGACTCACCAGCAGCTGCCTTCCCTCAGGGGAATCCAGGGCCAGCTCCCAGGAGCTGCTCTCACCCCGTTTGACCTGACCACAGCAGCAGCTCCCTGAGCATCATCCATGGCAGCTGAGCCCCGGCATGCCCTACCTGCATTGAGCTCCCTGCCAGCCCCATGCTGCTGCTGCAGCACTGCAAGTGCCACACATTCAGATCCCTGTTTTCCAGCAGCGCTCCCACAGGAGGGTCTGAACGTCACACACTTGAAACAGCCTCTTCCAGAGCTCATCAGTCCCCCAACCATCTCTCTTTCCACTGGCAATCACTTTGGATAGCAGCTTCTATGCTCTGCCCACTCCTTGTGTGGGGAGGCAGGAGCCCTGTATCCAAGATGCCATTTAAATACACTTTTACACAGCTAAGAAAGGCAAGGCTCTGCAGCAGCTCAGGTCAGAAGCCAGAACTCCATGGTAAAGACAAGGCAGTACCACTACAAGCGCTTACTTGCTTAAGGCAACTTCACTACAGTCCTACCACTTCCTCCTTCCAAGCTCCTGCTTTCTCCAGCTCCAAATGCACACTTC